CTGGCGCCACCTCACAAACCACTCCCTCTACAAAATGCCAGGTGCCATCCAGACTTGTTTACAGACCTTCACATGCAGGGAGGGTGAGATGGAAGGATCAGGCTTTTGCCGGGAGCCCGGTGGGGGCTGCTGGGTGCACCTGCACAGGTTGAGAGCACACACCGGCCAGGACCTGCTTGGGGACTTGCTGTGAGGGCAGCCATCATCAGCCATGTCATGGGCACATTCTGAAGCTTCAGGGGAGCCTTCTTGTGGAGAGAGGGCGGGGTCTGGAGGCCCCACAGAGCTTCCTGAGAGCCTGTGGCCTTCAGAGGATCAGGCTGGCTTTCCCAGTGTGTCCTGGTCAGAGTGGGAATTTGAGTTCATGGGGTGCTGACATCCACCTGGACCTCCGTCTCCTCTTCGATTCTGAGACCACATGACGCTTTCACCAAGTGTTGTGCTCCCAGGGCTATGGTGTGCCTATGGGAGAGAGGTGACCTGGAGGTACAGACCTAGAGGAATCAGCATGGGGCATGATGGTGCCCACCAGGCCCTGGGGGCTGGAGGAGGCTCCTGCAGCTGACGGGAACCCAAATGGGCTTCCTGTTGGAGGTCATTTCTGATCTCAGTGCTGAGGATGCAGGAGCTCTGTCTGGAGAGGAGGCGAGGAAGATGTCCAGGCTGAAGGGACAGAGGTGCGGGTGGACACATCCTTTGGAAACTGGAAGGGTTTCAAGGAGCTGGAAGGGTGTGTTTGAGGCAGGAGCCCCAGGCCAGCAGAGGGCTCATGGGGAGGTTGGTGTAGGGGGGCAGGCTTTGCCAGGGAGCACCGGGCACCCAACCCTTGATGCATGCGGTCCCATGACCCCAGGTGGGAGATGATACCTCACTGTGTGAATTAAGAATAGTTTCTGATTATCTTCTGTATTTTAGTAGCATCTGTGGTGATATTTCTATTTTTATTATGGATTTTTATAATTTGAGTTTTTTTCCTCTCTTTTGGTTAGCTTGGCTAAGGGTTTGTCAATTTTATTTCTTTTTTGAAAAAAACCAACTGAAAAAAAAATGATGATGATAATGATGATGATGGTGATTAGTAGTAGGGGATTGAACCCAGGGGCACTTGACCACTGAGCTACATCCCCAGTCCTTACGTTAAGGCAGGGTCTTGCTACGTTACTTAAGGCCTCACTAAATTGCTGAAGCTGGCTTTGAACTCGTGATCCTCCTGCCTCCTAAATTGCTGGGATTGCAGGCGTATGCCACTGCCCCTGGCTTGATAAAAAGAGATTCTTCATGAAAAATTAAGGGATCATTTTCACTGAGATGGTCAAAATAATCAATAAGAATATATGGTCACTGTCTGTGCCCAACGTCCGTTCCATTTCTTCTTGAGCTCTGTGCTGAGTGTGAGAGTAAGGGCTGAGTGTGAGAGCCAGGGTTGTTAAGCCTTGCCTCTGTTTGTGTTGCTTTCCCAGTTGCCAGTGGGAGTTCAAAAATTCTTTGCTTCCCTTCTCCCCAGTGTGAGGTAGGATGGGATGGTGGCTCTATCAGCAGGAGTTTGTCTGCACAGACAAGGTGGAGGCACTTCCTAGGTGGCCTCTGCGGAGTCTGGGGGTGGAGCTCTGGCAGGGGCTTAGGTCTAATCAGGACTCAGGGGCTTTGTTGGCTGGTGACTGCTCTGAGAGACTAGGTCACCCCTAGGACCTGGCAATTGCTGATCTCTGCTGGAGTCTGGATCTCACGTGGATTCTACTGGTAGGGATGCCAACCCTTCACCCCCTCTGCTGCCCATGAACACCGCCTTCCCAGGCTTCCTAGGGTTATTCCTTGAGTGTATTTACACCCACCTCATCAAATTCCAGGCCCCCTTCAGCTGGTCCTGTGAGCTGCTGGACTCACAGTGGGAAGTGAGCCAGGCTCCCCTTTGCTTTTCTAACTCGAATCCCCCTGGGTAAAATATTCTCTGTGCCTGTTCCAGTCTTACTCTGTTAGGTACCAACTAGGTCATGGGCAGGTGCTTGCCAGGACA